GATCTTCTCTGCAGTGGAGAAATTTACTAAGTTAAACAGTGTTTTTATATCCACTGATAATTTGCAATTTACCTCACATTTAGCTGATAGCTATCCTGAGATACCAATATCAGTGGATTATTATTTGCTGGGGCTATTGACAGTGTTGATTTTTGGTGCCACTGGGAGTGAAGAAGGCTGGCTGAACCATTTCACACAGTGCAGTTGCTCTGCTGCCTTGTGTGACTGAGCACCTGAAAGCTCTGCCTAGTGCAGTGCTTCTGGGCATGAGAGGCAAAAGTCATGTGCAGGTACCTAAACGGAAAGCATTGCAACTTACATTTTGAAATAGTTTTACTGTGAGTGGGACAGAATTTCCTAGAACAGTTGTACAAGAATAAAGAGAAGGGAGGAGGTGGGAGGGGTGTGTGCTGTCTGTGGGTAACTCAACTAAATGCATGATTCAGCAGCAAATAGTTAAGTCCTCTAGTGCTGGTATTTTATTCATAAGTAGTTTCTCTACATTCATACAGATTTGATGAGGTGATTATGAGAAACTGAATTAGAGTAGTATAGGTAGTTGAAACAGTTGCCATCTTTCAGGTGGAAATTTGTTGCCTTCAGAGGCGTGGCGACCTGATTCAGGAACGGCACGGTGACCAACCCCAGGCCGCTCGGGCCATCAGCTCACAGACACCAATGTGGTGGACGGCAAATGGCGTTTATTGGTGGGTAGCACAGCATTATATAGTCTAGGTTTACAGTGTCACTTCCGTCTTCTTGCGTCATAGGCTAAATGCTATTGGCTGTCTGGAGAGGGGCCCTATCTTTCCGTACAGCATGACATCTTCCGACCGCCAAGCCCTAACTATCCACAGAAATTACTAATTACTTCAGCAGAAACTCTGTAATTGCCTGTGTATGTGAACATTGTGTCTGGCAGAATAAAATAAAAATAGGCTAGTATCAAACACCTTCAGTGGTTTAAATTTATTTGTTGTAATCCAGCAGACAAGAAGCTGGATTAGGGAAGGCTAAGACAGGTCAATTTACAAGGGAGCTATCAAGTTGAAGATGTCTATTGATGGGTTTTCCAGCTCAGTCTTATGACTGAGCCCATTACTATGTCAATAATTGACTATGGTCTAAAAAGTACGTGTATGCTTATGAAATTTGTAGGATGTGAAAAGCCGGGAGGTGTAGTAAAAAAAGGGAAGCTTATGAAATTTGTAGGATGTGAAAAGTTGGGAGGTGTAGTAAAAAAAGGGAAGCTGCAGTGTAATGATAGAAGACTTTGATCATCAGGCAAGAATTAGATGATCTTCTAAATTTTGATGACAGAAATACAATCAAATATGATAATCTCTTGTAATCGACATTTAAGGATTGGTTGTATTGACATTTCTCAGTAGAAAGAAAAATGGTTCATTTTCCAGAATCATCTAACAATTCACCTAACAAAAATATCCTGCTATTTTAAGGCCTTAGTATGCAGTCATGCAGCCATACGTTGGGTTTTTTTTTTGTCTTCCTGTGGATTATTATAGTTGTGGCTTTTCATCTTTTATTCCCAAATGAATCAGGAGTTTTGTTTGTCCTGTGGGAAGAGATGTTAGTAGAAGTTCTGCTGTTCTTTCTTGTTGCCTTTTTGCCAGTGATTGAAGAATAGGTGTAATGGGTTACAGTCTGTACCACCTTAATGTTCTTATTTACCATTCCAGCTCTACTGACTTAAGTGATGTAGGAAAGCTTTTTACTATAATATCCATAAAAATCAAATCTGTATAAAAGACTATCTACCTATTCTTATATCCATAAAGAAAAGGGGATTTTTTTAGTGGCTATATTTTTATTAATTGAAAAAAAAGTGTGGTTTTAAATGTTTCCGTGTAAATTATAGTACAAACTAATTTGACACCAATAAAATACATGTTTTAAAGTTTCTGATTTACCTGTTTCTCATATTCTATTTGATTTATATCAAGGTTATTGACATAATTTCAGTAGTGGTTATTGATATAATGGACATCAGTTCTTTTTACGTCATGTGATACTGAAAATAGTAATCTTCTAAATTGTTAAAAAATAATTTTTTTAAAAGTAGAGATAAAACTTTTGGGGAAGAGACCCATTGTAAGTACTGTTTTATAATTTTATGTTTTTTGATGTTGATTATATATACCTAGAATTGTTGTACAATTTTATAAATCACTTCAAGAAAATAGGACTAAATTTTCTATTCTGGCCCTTTACCTTAGTCTGACAGTGCGCAAAGCCTTTACAAAGACTTAATATTTTTTTAATTTCCACTTCAAACCATTTTTTCAAAGTTTTTTTCCTTTTTTTTTTTTTTCCTGAACCATATAAAAATGTTCTGTGGATAAGAGGTAACAGATGCTATTATTGCTATCAAAACACTAATTGACTAAAGCTATCTTGGTAGGCAATACTTACTCTTTAAGTTCTATTAAGAAATCTTTCAAATTCTTTCTTTACAATTATAACAGTGAGTTTGAATCAAACCTTATAAATGGAAAACTGTGTTCCCTTACCAACTCTTAATGTAGGCTGCATATTCTAATTCAATGAATGAGATTTATTTACATACATAATTATATAACTATATTTAATTTTATAAATTAATTTGATTTTATAAATATTGATATATGTTATAGTATATTTATATACACTATATTTATATATGCAAATATACAGTGTAAGGTATATTATACTTTATTTTTATGCGTTATTTATATATGTGTCATTTTTATATTTAAATTTATAAAAAGAAAAAGTCATGTGAACTTAATGCCATGCTATGGAAATGTTTGGAAAATTCGCTATGTATGAACATCACATGCTCCAGGGGAAATATGAATGAAGCTTATTGACAATTATTTGCCAATATAGTTTTGTCAGATTCTTTAATCCTTCACTTTCTTGGGAAGTTATACTTTTTGGATGAATATTAAACATGCAGTCAAAACAAAAAGCATATTTGATAGCCATCTGGCAAGGATGCTTTTTTTATAAAAAGGGAGACAGAGGTTTAGGTCTATGTTCTGCCTATCTGGATTAATGCTAGCATCAACCCTGTACTTCTGGTGTTGGTTTTTTTTGTTTGTTTGTTTATTTGTTTTTCCCAGTCTTTCTTTTTGTTAGCTGTTACATGTGATAGAAATGCTTAAATATTTATAGAAGTTAGTACCCTACCGTCACCTCTGGCCTATAATTTCATATTAAATTAATCTGAAATACCCTCAGTACTGGAAGCAATATAATTAAATCTTCTAACTTTCTACAGACCCAGCATGTTGGGTCAAAGTGGGAATGCTGATGATGGGAGGCATTTGTCTCTTTGCCAGGTCTTTGTAAAGTGACAGAGATGCACACCTGTGGGCCAGGGCAGATCTCAGTGCCCATTCTTACACTGGCAGGAGGTGACTACCAGCAGCAGGTCTTTCAGCACAGACACTTATTAGAAGATGTGTTTCCCAAGTGTATCCAGCCAGATTTGGCACATGACGTTTTGGATCTGAACAGATCCTGTAGCACTTGTCCTGCAGATGTGTGAAATAGAACCTAGGAGGTGAGAAGGGCAAAGCTGAGTTTAATACAGAATGAGTAAGCATGCTTCAGGCATTGTACTTGACACTTGAAATTGTCTAAGAGCTCTTCTGAGCCGAGAAAATTAGTGGGACAACAATGTGATGGGCTTAATTCTATGTAGCTTTGCTAACCTTAAAATTCTGGTCTAAAACTAATAGACTAAGAAGTTGTCCTGTCATCTTCTACATCTTAAATAACATTTTTTTTTACTGTTCTGCTTTTCATTTCCCTCTGCCAATGCTCTTTCGTTTACTCTGTAGTTTTTCATGTGTTCTTGATTGTATCGAGAGCCCTAAAAGAATTTTTAAAACTGTCTAGGGACAGGAGCACCATTCTCTGTGCAGCATTACAGTTTCATATGGGAAATAGCTTAAATTAAACACTTGCAAGTTATTGAGTTATTGTGTATATTTATTTGTGTTTAAGAATTTGAGTACAATGTGCTAGTTGTACGTTTACCAACTGGAAATCAGATCTGGTCACTAGCACATAGAATATGCATTAAGAGGTCTGTGACACTAATGAATAGAATATATGTGAATGTACGTACACACACATATATATTTATATAGTAATTCAGCAAAATTACTGGAAGGTTTTTGTCCAGTCACAATTTGTGTGTAAGGACTAATTTCAGTATGTGTCAAAAGCTATCCTGAAAAGATACTTTTGCATTTAAAATACTGCAACTTAGGATTGTTTTAATATATACTCACTTTTCAGTATTATGGAACATTGGTATTGAGTGAAATGGAAAATGAAGTGTGATACTGTCCAGCACTCAATGAATACAGAAGCAGAAATAGGCAGGCAAATATTAACAAAGATACTCCACTTTTAAGTTAAGGTTTGTAGGATGATGGAATGGGTGCATTCAATTTGATGCTTAGTCATTTTGTATTAAACCATGGTGCAAAGTTGTTTTTACCAACCACAAAATGCTCAGCTTACTAAGTATTAGTGTACTGTCAGAAATATGCTGTTTTCATATGCTTTTATAGCCAGCACCTCACAAGGAAATGTGGTCAGTACATTTAGCCACCATAGACTTTTCTGTCTTGGGAAACTACATACCTGTTTACAACTAGGTGAATAGATAACATTTTCTGACCGTAGTTTCAAACAAGATTTGAACTGAGACAAAGATTTGGATTAACCATCAGGTCCAAGCTATTTCTAGTATTAGCGTACCATAATAACCCTTGAATTAACAATTTCATATTCAGTTTTTCAGATAATACAATGTTGGATTTTATGTGTCTAAAAAATGAATGCATGAGCAGAGGTGATTATTATTTCAAGTGTTCACTTGCCATTTACTATTAAATGAAATGGCTTATGCCATGAAATGTTTGCATAATACACGATGCATTTATGATAATTAAATAGATATCTTCATTTACTATTTTTAGGTTAAATTTTTTCCGAGATGTTCCTGAATTCAGAGTACTAGCATGTGGTGGAGATGGAACAGTAGGCTGGATTTTGGATTGCATAGGTAATCAATAGAGTTTGCATAGTTTTGCTTGACTCATGTTTTTCATTTTACTGCTCTTCCTTGTATACCAAAGTATGGATACAGCTATTTCAATCAAGATCTTGTTCATTTAAATTTTTAAAATTTGTTAGTTTGGGACATGATTATTTTAAAGGATATTCAAATTGCAAAGGATATTCAAAATCCTTAGACAAGTCCAGTGTTTGTAGTCCTCTGGATTTCCAGAAGGCAAGAAATTTGAATCAATTTATTTTCATTTCAGTTCAAAGTCCATTCCCCAAACTGATTCAAATCTAAATTGTTTCTTTTAAGACCATTTACCTTAGCTCGTATGCTTTTTCAGTTACCAAATTTTTGTTTATGTTCCATTATCCTGTAATGGATATTATGGGCTAACAGCCATTTCAGTTTTGGAGCTCTTTCAGTCAGTTGTCTGTAATCCTCTGTACAAATTATTAGGAAGGCCCAGAAGTCAAGATATTACAGATATAAACTTCCCAAGGCTTACCAGAGAGAATATCTTCCACACCAGGTGAACATTTATTTGATGTTAGAGGGGCTACAGGGAAAATAGGAAATGGGAATGTGTGACAATGCAAATAAGGAGAGAGATGAAGAGAGGTGAAAAGAATCAACTGAAAGTTTGGATGAAGTGTGTTTAAAAGTGTGTGCTTTGTGGGAGGTGTGGACCAGAATACCTTTTAAAGTTCAGTGAAAAGTAAAAATGATGTCATGGAGGAATGACAATATGCCATGCAAAGGCATATTTCTAATCTTGGTTTGAATAAAAACCAAACCTTTTTGCAAATACAAACTATTGATTATAACTCTCAAATAGCTTGCAAAATCATAAATTGATGTACATAAATAGCAGGTATATTGCCTAAACTTGGAGGGGGTGAAGTTTTGCAGCTGTTAATTGTGTCATCACTTTTTTCCATGAGGTCTAAAAAGCCATGCAGTTACTTTCTCTTTCAGTGGCATTATTTGAACAAAAGCCTGGGTTTTGTCATAATAAAACAACGATCTTCCACAGAAATTTTTGTGATACATCCATTTGTTTCAAAGATGCAAGAAATAAATTTTGAATTCTGTCTTTTAGCGAACAAAGCCCTTTGTCACATGTTGTGCATATAAAGTTTAAGAAATCACCTATTTTAAGAAACAGACACTTTCTAGTTGGATCTTTTCTTCCTTGATCTCCTGATATACAAAGAATCTTAGCTGAGAGCAAAGCAAGAAGAAAAAGATAAAAAAGAAACAAACCACAATAAAAAAGAAAAAAAAAACCAACCAAACTTTTTTCTCCTTGATTTGAGACTTCTAAACTTTTATTATTCATTATCCTATTAACTGTTAAATTCTCTTAAAGATTTGCAGCGCACTGGTATTGTGAATGCTGTCTTCCTAAAAAAACTGAAAAGAGAAATGGATAATAACAAGATGTCCCTGCCACATCCATTGGATATATGAACTCCTGCTGAGAATTGCTGATAATTGTGCATAATTCTATGAACAAAAAAGCTAATCATTTAGTTATTCAAGTATCACTTTTAAACTAGACATGCTACTTATTCCAATTAAATGGGGAATTTGGCAAGTTACAGATTTGAAATATTTTACCTGGGCGATATCTGCCCCCCTTCCAGCTTTCAGAAAGGCTGTATTTCTTGACAAGGGTTTTCCCACTGGATTTTGAACAGAGATCCTTTGACTTGAATTACTAGAAAAGTACCGATAAAGATACTGTAAATTATCATATCTGTGGGCTACAAAAATCCTTGTGATAACAATCAAGTAAGTTAGGATTAAGGATTGGATATTGACTGGGGAAGGGGCTGCGTAAGGGAGTGGCTTGGTGAAATGCTTGTTGCTGAGCAGGCAGCATCATCTCATATACAAAAAGTGTATCACTGTCTTTTACTGAAAGAAAACCTAACACAGTTACTATATCAGTACCATACAATTAGATTTTTTTTTCCTTAGTTATGTTTTTCCTTCTTTATTCACAGAGAAAGCGAACTTGATTAAGCATCCTCCAGTTGCTATCTTGCCCCTTGGGACTGGCAATGATTTAGCAAGGTGTCTGAGATGGGGAGGAGGTAAAGACAAATTAAAATACACTGCATTATATAATTAAATAGAAAAAAAACACTTTTGCTTCCAAGTCTGCTCTCAACATTTGGATTTCTTTTTTATGATGTATGTAATGAACTGTTATCAGCTTTCCTTTTTTTTGGAATTAGTTGCCTATAAATGTTATACAAACGATTCTATAGTTATTAAACACTGTAATCACTCTTTATACCTTGCTTGTAGCTTCTGCTGACACCAAAAAGGCTCTAAGGTGCAAAGAGAGTAGTATATAGCTGTTTGGTTGGCTTTTTACCATCTATATTGCAGTTATTTCTTTGATCAATACCTTATAAAGGGAGTATACTTAAATGGATTTTAATTGAGGCTGTTCTGAAAGGGTTACTGAAAACAGCTAATAATGGGTTTGGAGTGGTTTCATCTATTTTAATATTCATAAATATTAAATGAAAAATGTGTCTCGGCCTCAGACTAGTTCCTTTGATCCACTCCCTTCTCTTCTCCTACAGAGAGTTCCAGACAGTAAGTGCTGTGGTGCTATTTATCAGGAAATGAGAAGGCAAAGAATGCTGAAAGGAGAGCATGTGTAAAGTCAAACCTTTAACACCATTTGCATCCTTTCCTGTATGTATGGAGCCTTACTCTCAGCTCCTCCAATAACTTATTTCCATTCAGGATTTGCATGACAGGATAACTTGAAGGAGACACAAAGAAAGTCTTAGGCAAGACTCAGTCTCTGGTGAAAGCATGTCAGTTTATGGTCATTTCAGTTGAGATGTGTATTTGGAACTTGGCTATTTTTTTGGAACTTCTCAGCCTTTGTAGAGATTTCTGCCTTCTTCTGTCTAATCATAGCAAGTTTCCTTTCCAAAAGTCTGCCTTATTACCAGATAGCCTTTAGCAAATTCACAGTAGTTTCCATGCTAAGAACTTCTTTGTTAACCGTAATGTTCTGTCAGATCATTTGAGGGTCTGCTTTATTTTCTCTGTCGTGACTGGTGATTGTTTATTCATATAGACTTAGGAAAGAAAATAAGAAAAACCAACCCAAAACCCAAGCAAATCAGCCTTGCTTCACCTTCTGAACAGTTCATAGGGTAGAGTCATAGAATAAGTCAGGCTGGAAGGGGTCACAGGAAGTCACTAGTCCAATCTCATTCTCTAAGCAGGGTCAGCTATGAGGGCATTTGATTACATTGGTCAGGACCTGCCCTTCCATTCACTTCTATTTATCTACCTTCCATTCAGAGTGGTTCCTCTAGACTAATGTGGAAAACGACAGTATGAAAATATTCTGGCTTTCATCATTCTTTGCCCAGTTGCTTTGTGGTAGACAATGCTGTAACACAGATTTTCTGGACCTTCTGTAGATGGGAGAGGAGACAGGGCTACCAGAAACTAAACTGCAGAGGAGTGATCTCGAGGATGCAAACAGATGGAATTGTGCATGCTGTTGTTAAGTGGTGGTTAACTAACAAAAACATACTATACAACCATGAAGAAATAAGTCAGCAGTGGGTTTTGAGCAGGAACTCTTTGAATCGCTTTGCTTGATAAAACTGTTAATGACCCAGGAAGTACATACTGCTTGAATATGAAAATTTGTTTCTGATTTGAAGAAGGATTGAATCCACAGATCTGAATTATCTATTACAAAGTCATTTGGTCTGAGTAGTATCCAGAGCTGATAATGTCCCTTAGTAAAAGCCCCACACTTATTATGTGTGCACATACATGTACTGTATGTTATTTACACACCCCTGAGTATACACAAGTTCTCTACTGAGTTGAGCATATGGTGTAGTGAACTACTGCTACTAGTGAATTACCTAAAGACATGTGAGTGCTTCTTGACAAGTAAGAGTAAGATCTCTCTACAGAGCAGGCTGAGGCTCATAAGTAAGTTGTTGAAAGATGGAAAATGTCAGTTCTGCTGAGAAGTCGTAAGGTATGGATTTCAAATTTTGGATTTGTTATGCTAAACCCCACTGAAACAGTCAAGAAAAAATAGTACACACCTTTTAACTTTTCACTCTTTTGTCAGACTTTATTCAGACAAATCTATTGTATGTCTTTTTTCCATAAATTTTGAAATCAAAGGACTTTAAATACTGAGATGAACTTCATAGCAAGAACACTGTGCAAAGTATAACCTTAGCTTTTTCTATAGCTGCTTATAATCATTTGGAAAATTCAAGGGCTTAGCAAGTTTTGAAGGTCGAAGTATTTTCTCCAGTATGAATCTGATACCCAGTGAAATCTGTAGAATTAATCTAAGTTTACATCTATTTAGTGGAATGCAGAAATCAGCTTTGTATTTGTACTCCTTTTAATGACAGATGCTGGACAATTGTCAATAGTTCAAACACAATCCTACTTTTCAGGTGTTATATGTATAATTGTCATTTTTCCAGTCATCTAGAAAGAGAAAGAAAATGGAATGAAACTTTAATATGTTTGATTAAATAACCATTTTCATGTTTTGCTAGGTTATGAAGGTGAGAATTTGATGAAGATCTTGAAAGACATTGAGAACAGCTCAGAGATTTTGCTGGACAGGTGGAAATTTGAAGTCATACCCAACGATAAAGATGAGAAAGGAGACCCAGTGCCTTACAACATCATCAATAACTACTTTTCTATTGGTGTGGTAAGACTTATGTTTATCATTAAGTGATTTCCTTTTTCTGTGTTGAATAAATATTTGCATTGCATGTCTTCAGGTGAAGAATTGTTGGCTACAGATCATTTATAATGTTATTTTGCCAGTGAAATGAATACATGGATGACTGACAGCAATTTACATAAATTTACTTGCACACATTCAAACCAGAATTATTTTTCAGGACCTTCTACCTTCCCATCTATAAAAAAGATATTTGTGTTGTTCCTAATGGTTTATGAGCAGCCATAGCACTAAATTTAGATTTGTCATTATGAAAGTCCTATAAAAATATAAGGGAAAACTAACCACTTAATAAGACCTCTAAGTAACCTTTTCCGTTAGTATTCATGTAATCAGAATTGTTTAAAAGAACGGTGGCATTCTTTATTTCTTCAGGACAGTTTTAAATAATAGAATAATAACATAACACCCCCACACACATACACACACACACACACACGCAGGTATCTTCGTGGTTCTGTCTTATGGGGCTATTCACAGTTAGAATGAATTATGAAGAAAAAGGGGTTTAAGAAGCTCTTCGTGTCCTAGGAACTGCATCTCTGGCTTGTGCTTCTTTATGGTTTCCTGTTATATCTGCTGTCCACGCTGCAGGGGAATTAGGCATGTCTGGTCTGACTCTTCAGTCTTTTGCTTTGGATATGGTTTCAAACACAAGCAGATGGGGGACTGTGATGAGGTCCAAATTTCACAGACTGAATAGTTCATAAATGAGGTTTTTAACTCGGACACAAATGAAGGCGAATTAACTTGGGAACATGCCCTCCAATAGGCAGCGCTAGCTATTCTGAAATCAGTTTGCTCCACATACATTACATAAATGTGTATATTATTTTTTAATAAAAAAAATCAAAATCCACTTTTACAGGGTATCTAATTCTGTCTTTTAATGGGAAGTAGAACATACAACATTGTAAATCCACGGAAATTTAAAGATGTGTGCTTAATGTGTTTGATCGCTGTGATTCAGTATTAACAAGGTTCTGCCCCAACTTTAAATGGTTGATGAAATTTTCACATATTTATTGAAATTCTGTGATTTTGATATAGTGCCTATCAGCAACATGCAGAGACAGTGTATTGCTTAAAATCATTCCTTCTCTTCCTGTACTGTCTAGTCCTAAATGCTGAAAAAACAATCAGGTGTCTCCAAGGTGAAGATATTTAAGTAAGAAGATGTTGCTGGGGGTTTTTTTGCTTGTATAGCAAGTGCAGAGAACAACTAGATGCAACAGAAATAACAGAAATTAGTACATAAAAGTACATAAATGCAAAGTATATGCACCAAAACTAGAGCAAAATTAAGTTCGTCAACAGGAGAGAAAGTGCAAATGAAAATCTTTGGTTACAGAACAACTCCATGATAACAGAAAGTGCCCAGCAGAGGGGGACGTATTCAGTGACTTTGTCAAAAGGGAATATCGATGCTAAAGCCTCACAGATGAAGAAAGAAAATAAATGTAGTTTATTAAGGAAGCAAGCAAGAAGTGTGAGGGAGGAGGGATGAGATTTTACACCTATATGTTAATACAGTGCAATTTAAATGGTTTCTAAAATGTAGAGTACCACCACATGTAAAGATACAGCACAGAAACAGGAAACTGAATGCCAAGTAGATAGTGGGACATCTGTGAATGTGCTAGGCTTCAAAGAATCCTTCAGCATTATGCAAGGGAAGAAAACAGAAACACATTCAAGAAAAAAAAAGATGAACTGAAATTATTCAGTGGCAAGATCACAATACTGTTAAGGACAATGTAAATTATTTGTAGAAAACTGCAGGAAAATAGCAGACTCTACTCTATACACCAGGCTCCATGGACAGCCAGAAGACTCAGTTTTCAGTTAAAAACTTTGAATTCATGAATTTGGTAACACTAAACTTATGATTCTTCACATAACAGAAATGTGAGCACCAAAAAATTATACCAGGAGTGGACAATACAGTATGGTGCATTGAGAAAAGCTTCTAAAATTGTAAAATCACATTTTTGAAGGAGTAAGATCTTCCAAGTTTGTCATACGTGGAAATATATAAAATGCCTTTTTCTCGTTTTTGTTGGTGTGAAAAAGACAAAGCAAATGGAGAAAATAAGAAATTATATTTTAGACTTGGTAAAATTGTGCAATTCATATATTAAATAGCATTCATAATAATTCTTAAAAATCCAGGAAAAATGTTTGTCTATGTAAATAGACAAAGTATTCAAACTTGGCTATAACTGAAGTAAACCTAATTTCGTAAAAGCAAAATAGTTTTCAGTACTTGGTGCCTAGTACAAACTTTGGCAAGTACTGAACTGGGAAAGCAACAATCTACCACTGTGTTACACACCAGTCCATTACTGCTGATACCCAAGAACATAACTGGAGTCAAGCCTGTAGCAAAAAAATACTAGTACCACCTACAGTGTTATAGTAAGAGAAACCAGAAGGATTTGTGTCATACATAATGTTATTCATAGAACCATAGAAAATCATTGAGTCATCAAGCCATTCCTCTCCATAAGGAGAGGCATCACTGGCACTTGCCTAATTCCTGATAGAAGTTTATCCAGTTTGTCTCTAGATATTCCCAATAACGGACATTTCCTTATTTGCTTGTGATGACCTACTGTATTACTTTGTTGTCCTTACTCTGAAATTTCTTTGTCATATCTAACCTGAATAGTCTGGGTGTAGCCTGGGCCCAGGTCATTTTGTCCTGTACAGAGTGGAGAAAGAAAACAAATTATTCCATTCCTGTTAAACTATTGCCTAGTAGAAGATCTGTCAGATCATCCCTTAGTCTTATGTTCTGTTGCCTTTCTATCTCCAATTTCTTCAGCCTTTCCTCATCGAAAATGTTTTCTAGACATCTGATGATACGCATTGCTTTTATCTGTGCTCAGATAAAAACTGAGAATTCAATCCAGTTAGTCCCTTTGGTCTGTATCTCTATGCAACCATAGTGCTCCCAAGTAGACACAATGCTGCATTTGGTGTCTTAGCAGCACTGAGTGGAAAAGAGGAATTAATTCATGTCTTGCAGAGCATACCTTTATGAAGAAAAATTAGCCTTCTTACTATTGACATGAATTTCTTTATTCTTATTTGACTTGTGATTCGTTGTTCATTTCAGATACTACTCTGAAGAATCACTACTTCATATCTCATTTGGGTTTTCCATAAGTGATTCTTCCTGCCTGCATGCAGAAACTTACACCCTCTCTTAATTTTCACTATTTCTCCAAGGCACTATGAAAACTAGTAGTAACCTACAACATACTGCACATTGTCTTATAGATTCATGCCAAATAATAAGCACAGTCTCTAATCTGATATGAATAGAACCTGCTGTATGAATTTTGTAACAGAATGGCAGAAATTATATTTGACAACAATCAATCTCAATGTATACTTAGAAAGGCCGGGGGAGTAAAATTCAATAAAACTGTGCTTGGCGTGGGACTCTTACTGCCTTAGGACCATAGTTCAGGTTGGAAGGGATCTCCGGACATCATTAGTCCAATCTCCTATTCTAAGCAGGACCAGCTATGAGAGCTGTGGATACAAGAACGCTGGGGTAGACAGTGTTCAAAACCTTGCTGAAGTTGAGCATGACATCCACTGCTCTCTCCTCACCTACAAATCTCACCTGTTTTATCATGGACATCAGTTTGAAGGCAGTGTACCCATTGGAAGGATAATGATGCACTAAGTCAAAAAGGAATGTTTTACAGTAGTGTGTGTATGTGAAAAGTTTGATTAGTGTGTTCAAGCCAAAAAGATTTCTTTTACTACAGCAGTCTCTGAGCTCTGATAAGTACATAAGTATATGTTCTATACTGCGTAGAAGTACAGGGGAAAAAAGTAAGAAACAAAGTGAGATGTAGTAGCTGAATGAGTATGTGCAATGTTCAACCTGAAGAAAACACAAAGCAGGGAAGAACCATACAAAGCATAAGCCAAGCTGTGTGTCACTTTCAAAGCAAGAGCTGGAAAACATCTAAGAGCAATGTAGAGTAAGATAAAGATTTTTCAAGTGTTCACATCCATCATTCTGTCAGGATGGCAAGATACCAGGAGAGGAGATCCATCTGCTTCCCAATAATATTGGAGTCACTGAAACAAACTAAATATCAAAGAAGAATGTGTATTAAAGCAGTCAAGTCATATTTGCTTTAAAAAACAGGAATAAAACTGAAAACACCCAACCAAAACAAAAAATTCCTCCTCAAGAATATAGTAGTAGGACCATGTGAAAATGGAAGCTTGTCTTGGAAGGTCACGGATTCAGTGAGCTAGACGAACATAACGGATTATATTAGAGGACAGATAAGCAGGCATGATAGGAACAGGAAACATCAGACCAACTGTCAGACAGTGGCAAGTACAATTACTGACATATTTTGGAGAAAGCAAAAAATAATTTTTCCCCATAATCTACTCAGCCTGCTTTAGTAGTCATACATTCATGCACTAGGTTGATATTATCACAGTGATCATCAAAGGCAGATTTCAGTAATGTTAGTATTGGTGTGTTATCACTGACTGTATTCTACACAGTGGACTTGCAATGCATTTTTGTAGTTGCTGCAGTAATGGAATTTCAGTCACGTCACATCATTTAGCTAACTTGCTGAGGTTATAAACTATTAGAGGGAGTGTGTGTGTGTAGACAGAGTGTGTCAGCTTGTGCATAATATTTGTCATGGTTAGCCTTTTCCCCATGGATCAAACAACATAACTTATGCTGCTTTCTTCAAGGACTCAGCTGCTTACCATTAATGATGGGTCAACATGTATATGTGGACAGTTACTTCACATAAGCTTGTGTACTGTAATACCCCTGCACATCTGGTTTCTTTTAGCCTAGCTAATTTCCATGTCACAGACCTGTATAAATGTCCTGGGTTCGGCCAGGACAGGGTTAATTTTCACCGGACTCCAGGAAGGGGCACAGCCGGGCGGGCTGACCCCAC